GTATTTAAGAAACACTTGCCGAATGTTCCTGGTAGTGTTTCACACTTTGAATCAATCGAGCCCGTTTTTCTCTGACAGAGGACCGTCTGCATTTATTTGCCCTGATAGGTCATCATCAGCCACAAAAAAAGAAATTAGAGTGGTTCTTTAGTCTGGATGGGTAGACCACCTAAGCTGCTAGCTGTGCAATTGCCTTTTTTTTTCTTAGAGAGGTAAATGGCCCTCTGGGAGTTAGACAAAGGCTTCCATTGTGAAACTTGTGGCCTAACCCTGATAATTACAAAACGGTTCGCCAGGTTTGCCGCCGCTGGTTATAAACCATGTCAAACCTTTCAAGTGTCTATTTATTCATCCGTGTCTCCCACGTGAAACCTCGGCGGGGCTGCTGTGCGGATAAGAGGAGGGGAAGGATCGAGGACAGCCCTCCTGGAGATGAGGGCCGTGCACACACCCTGGCTCTCGTCCAGAGCTGTCTCCTCGTGTGAGGCCGTGAGTGAAATTCACTTTGCCAGTGGTTAGCTCGGCCCATTACTCACCGAGCTGTGCTGCAGTGATAGCGAGGGGCCCAGCGTCAGGGCAGAGCCGCCCGCCGCAGCTGCAGCGCCACATCCCACAACAATGGTGGAAACGCGGCGCTCTGCCGCTGTTTTTCCACTTTACAATAAACGGGTGGGGGGGGGGAATGTGAGGGGGTTTAGCAGTTTATCGTTCTGAGTCGAGTTTTGCTGGAACTGGAAGCTGAAGGATGTTTTGTAACAGACTATCACTTGGACAGACAGTGCCACTTTCCTCAGCCTTTGCCCGAACATGCCCTACTTCTCCCCCCCTCCCTCACAGACGTTCATCACTTCCTCCGCTGAAATTGGTGGAATTCCTGGATCTCAGTTCGCGGTTGGATGATGCTTATGCCGTTTGTCTGCCTGCGTGCCTGGCTGTTTTTTCCTCTAGGTGCCAAGTTTTTAGGTTTGCTCAATCGCATGGGCAGGTTTGTACCCGGTTCTCATCAAGATATACGACCAGGGGGAGGGAAGAGACATAAAAAAGAGTGAAAACAAGTGAGGCAGACAGGGGGAGAGGAGAAGCCCTCCTTCTTCTTTTTTTGTGTCAATGGTTGGGTTGCATTTCTGTGAGTCCTCAGTTTGGCCCTCACTCATCAGTCTCCCTGCATGACAGGAAATGGTGTTGTGCAGGAGTCACTGGATTTCCTGTTTTACTTGTTCAAATCTCACTCATCTGACAGTTAATGTGTGTTGCAGCAGAGATATGTTTCTATCTGCATGGTATTGTTCATTTTTCTCCCCAGGTAAGCCTATCTTCGGCCTTCCTTCATCTTTACGCCTGTTTTAATGCTTGTTTCTCTCGTTTTGTTTTTATCTTGATCAGGCTTTTCGCTTCGGCCCGCTTTGCCTTTAATTCGTCTGGTTCTCCTGGCAGGCCTCATATATACGGCCAGAGTGAGGCCCCCGTGCCAGGCAGTTTTCAAAGACTTTACTGTGCTGGAATGAAGCCCCAGTTTTGCCCAAGCCAGCACAGAGGGACCTTTGTGCCTGCTGCCCAGCAGCCCAGGCAGCCTTCAGAGCAGGGACAGATTAGGAGCCAGGAAGAGCCAATGGACTAAATGGTAGGGTGCCTGTTTGAAAGCCAATGGTGTCAGGCAAACAGCCCCTTATCCCATTCAAGCACACAGTAATTACAAGCTTGTAGGGCAATCCTTCGGCTCCTTTGTCTAGGCTTTGGTAACACTTGCCCAGTGTACTGGGAAACGTCATTCCTTCTCCGTTTGAGGACCCAGGACGAGGACTCTTTCAATTTAAGCATGTTGCTGTTTCTCTGAGGGACAACAGCCAGCCAGGCTACTTCTGTTAAAAGGACTCCCCACCAGGAAGAAACTGTGTTTGAGGAGAAGCATGTTTACTTGACAGGAGGGGTAGAAATAATTAGTGTGTTGGACTGCACAAATCAGGACGTAAGCCTCTGAAACCTCAGACACTCAAACTGCATCATAGCGGCTCAGCTAGATTCAAATGGGCCATGTTTGCATTCCGGGGACCATCTTCTTAATAAAATACAAAAGAGTTAAATTGTATATTAGTACAACCAAACCCAAACCTTTCCGCAACATTTGACACAAAAATAGTATGATTTTGATTCCCCGCGTGATTCATTCTGTCCTGCTTACTGACGGCTGTCCACCCCTGTTTCCATGTAGTTTGTGTGCCCGCCCTGTCACAAGGTCTCGGCCGACCCACTGAGTAACACACAGGCCGAGGCTGCATCGCGACACGTTACTCAGACAGTCATCCGCGTCTCATTCCTACAGCCAGAATAACAAGCCAGAGCTCTAGAGAAATGTGCCACGATGTCTCCATCCAGAGCCTGAGCCGAGAGGTCACGGCCCCAGCTGCAGAAATGAAGATGAATTTAGTCCGCAGCCAGACTCTGTCTGGACGTGTAACACCACCATGTGAAAAAAGAAGTCCTTAAATAGATGGACTGATAGGAGGGGTTGGAACAAGACTGAGAGTTGCTGTGAAGACTCATCGTCTCTTTGTTTTGAAGCAAAACAAAATACAATCAGTATCAATTCCTTAGTCTCCTTTTTAATCTGACAAGATCCTGAAAGCTCTGTCTGCGTGTTCGGCAGCCAGCAGATTAAAGGCCTGTTTTCTGGTTTCTGTCTCCCAGGATGGCGGCATGAAGGAACGAGGGCCAACGCTCTGGGAGCGAACGTACAGTCGAGCTTACGTATCCTGCCTATTTCCATTCCTAGATAAAGAGTGTGTTAGTAGGACACAAATTCATTTAAGTTAATTAATTAACTTTTTGTTAATCTGCTCTGCAGAGCTAATCTACTGTCAGACCCCAAAGAATAGGTTTCTATTCATTTCTGAAATTGGAAATTCTCTTTTGCTGACATATGGACGATATTGGAGGCATTTCCTGGCACTACTATGGACCGTCCTCTGGCACATGATTACTGAAGACACGCGGGCTTTTGGGAGTTATTTTCGCACGCAAACTGCAGCCCAGAATTGTTTTGATATTTTCTGATGCTTCTGCTGCTGGGGGTAATGCAGACGACATTCAGACATTCAGCAATGGCCTATGTTTTCCCAGGCACCTCCCTGCATGCGCCCACCAAACATTTTCATCTTTACTAGGTGTCCTGTGTGCTAATTCTGCATACCTGTCAGAAGCTTTTCCACTCAGCTGCATACAAACTAATGACTGACACAAAATAAATCCTCTTTCCATCACTGTTTTTACATCCTTCCTTTGCTATGGATTCAAAGGATTAAGACCGAGAAGGTGGTGGTCAGAGGCCGGTGCCACCCTGACCACACACAATCACTGATGGATTTAGATGAGGTAGTTTTAATAGCAAGTATTCTCGTGGCCGTTAATCCTCAGATGGCGTTTCTCAGTGGAAGCCCTAACGTTTCTAGTTGAGGTCTGAATCACTGAATTTCACCCAAAACCTTGCATTATTATCTGTTAGGTGGCTAAGGATTCTCTCCTTTTGGCTAAAAAGGATTTAAAAGTTATAGCCCCCCCCCTCGTCTGGCTCCGCAGACAGGCCCTCTCATGAATGAACTGGTTCAGAGATTTATTGTCAGAAAACACAGCTCTGTGTTGGCTGGCGGAGAAGATACTTTGCCTGAGGCGTTTTCTGAGAGCTGAATCCTCTGCAGTGCGGAGCCTGGAGATTTGTATTCACGCGCTCTTTACTTGACTTGTAAATTGATGTTGATTTATCAAACAAAGTGCGCTGTCTGGGGAAGGTTTGACCCATCTCTGCGCCACCCCTGGCAGGGTTCCGTGTCACCTTCTCTGACGGGAACTTTTTTATTTAATTTTTTTGCATCCATTTTTAATGCTTTCATGGCTAAGCGGGTCTGCGCACAGTTCATACAGTCAGCCGCCATGCTCCCGTGCAGTGTGAGGGTGGATGTGTTGTCGGGCCGTCACAGCGCGCTCATGGCTGGTGGCTAATGTGATCACAGCCACAGCCGGGCAGGGCCAAGTGAGAGGAGAGGCTTAATCTCCCTCAGTGTCTCACTGCCAAATTGGCCCAATTTGTCAGGCATCACCCACTTTTCCGACGACTTTCAAAGGCCTGTTTGGTCTTTGATGTGCAGCTTGGCATATTTGAGCTCAACAACTGCAATTCAGTAGTGTAACAAAAAAAAAAAAAAGGCTGTTAAAGGGGTACCTCGGGCCGCCTGATGGCTTATTGAATTATCAACCAGGTCGTCTGATGTTTGGATAAATGATCTAAAAGAGGAAGAGATTTAACTGAACCTCCATATTTTCCTTTTAGTTTGTGTTCCCCCTCAATGCTTCTGCTGAGCCTGAAATGTCCTTTATCTGAAACTAACCATGTCAGTAACTTTTCACTGTCTGGAAAAAAAGCTGCCGGGGGGAAAGTACGCATTAACATTCTGTTCTGCAGGCAGGCTTGTGCACTCGGTGTGTGTCTGTTGTGGCCTCTGCAGAAGGGAAACTTTGCATGGTAGAGAGGACCTTCTCATGTTTTGTCGGTATTTCACTTTAATTAGACATCATAAGACTACTGTCAGCTTTGATGTCGTTTTGAATCAAATATGATTTTAGGAATTCCAGTGTGCTGCAATTAGAGAATGAAGCTGGTTCCCAAACCAAAAAACATCTGATTTTATTACCTTAGTTTCACCTATTTGCAGTCCTCCTCCTAACAGAGAAAGCTTTGTCAGTCACCATGCAGATAGATTAAGGCGTATTTACTCCTGAGGATATTATCACTGAATGCATTTTTCTCTCATTTCTTTTCAGCCTTTGGAGCGGGGAAAATGCTATGCAGTAGTGTTGGAGCTGAGAGCAAAGGAGCACGCTGAGGAGCTCTCTTCTTCGCCTCTCCACTTGTTGATCCAGACAATCAAATGAAGTCAGGGAGCAGCATCCCGTCCCAGAGGCCGCCATGTTAATCTGCTAAGTGCCTTCAGCCTTTTGGCACTGGTGTCATGACCAGCCTGAAGCGCCCACCCATGGAGCACTCTGTCGGGGGTTCCATTCCTGCCACTAATGAGTTTTACACCGGCCACCTCCGGATGGTGAACGGAGGAGCCGTGCCCATGCGCCCAGACAGCGTCCACGCCACTGTGAGCACGGGGGTGCCCAAAATGGGTGTCCGGGCTCGGGTCGCCGACTGGCCCCCGAGGAAAGAGCTGCCAGGGGTTCTGTGGCACCCGTCTAACGAGGCCGAGAACCCCGGCGGGCCCTCTGTTAGCAAAGGTCACATTAAGCTCGGGTCGGTGCTGAGCCCTCAGGACTCATCCATGCTGCGGAACATCCACAACACTCTGAGGAGTCGGACCCAGGCCCAGGCCAACAACTACAGCCCCGACGCCCGTTACCTGGCCCCCGGGGACTACAGGGGTCCCGCGCTTCGGAACCCGCGACAGAGACGCATCCGGCAGCGCAGCAATAGCGACATGACCATCAGCGAGATGGAAGGCAGCGGGGACAGCGGAGAGGACTGGGGTCCGTCATCGGGGGCTAAATGGTCCCCGCTCCACCGGGAATATGGCAGCACCTCCTCGATAGATCAGCACGGAGTGTCTGGAGAGAGCTTCTTCGAGATGCTTAAGGGCTACCAAGGGGACAAAGTGGACCAGCGTAGCCCCGCTCCAGAGAAGCTGGAGGACATGCTGAATGTCGGGGCAAAGCAGGCAAGCATAGACCTGCAGGAGGACGTGACCGACGGGCATCTTCTCAAACCCAAAGACAAAGACAAGCCTCATAAGAGACGATCCAAGTCAGAGACAGGCGGGGAGTCTATATTCCGAAAGCTGAGGAACGTCCGAGGTGAGCTGGACTCCCCCAGAATGGGGTCAGACTTGGAGGACGGTCGGACGGAGGACGGGGGCCCCGCTCTGAAGCCCTGGCTCTGTCAGAGAGGCTTCGCCCACTACGACGTCCAGAGCATGCTTTTTGACCTGAACGAAATCACCCAGCTGCGGCAGAGCGCGGGCAAGAGGAAAAACACCACCACGGGGGCGTCCGCCGCCGCCGTGGCCTCCGCCACCTCCACGCTGTCGTCCACCCACAGCCTGCCCTACAGCTCCCCCAGCGGCAGCCAGGAGGAGCTCAGCTCCAGGGACAGCCCGGGCCCGGACGCGGGGGACGAGCAAAGCAACGAAATGCTGCTGAGCTGCCCATGCTTCCGCAACGAGATCGGAGCCGACGGCAACGGGAGACGCCGCCCAGGGGCCGGGGGGGCCGGGTACCACGGGCTGGGGGGCGGCGGGGGCAGCGGAGGCAGCTCGGGGACCCTTTCTGGGGAAGGCAGCATGTACGAAACATCCGTGAGCACACACTGCACCAATGCTGGAGTAGCAGTTCTGGAGGGACCCAAAGAGGGGGCGAGCACGCTCAGCGAAAAGGGCAAACAATACATCGTGGAGCACGTGGACCTCGGAGCCTACTACTACAGGAAGTTCTTCTACCTTAGAGGTGAGCTGCCTTTAACTTGATTTTTTCTCTCGTGTGGATATTTGCTTGTTTTTTAAGATGTGATCTGCTCCCATGAAACCTTCAGATCACTGGAACTACTTTGGGATAGACGAGGCTCTGGGTCCAGTGGCAGTGAGCCTGCGCAGAGAGAAGCTGGAGGAAGATAAGGAGCACGGTCAGCAGTATAACTACCGCCTCATCTTCAGAACCAGCGAGGTCAGACACACAGTCCTCAGCTCTGCAACGCACATTTTTTGCCCTTAACAGGAACCATTTATTCAGACGGGTACAAGATCCCTTCGCTTGACCGCAAGAACAGTTGTTGGTTTTTGTCTTAAACACATAAAGACTAAGAAATTAGCGTTTATCTGTGTCGGATCGTGTTATTGCTTTGCACGCTATATAAAGTGGACCAGCACAAGGTAACACAAGCTCCAGTCTTGCTTATTATGCAACCAACCCCCTGAGCCATTCAGCTGTCTCCCCCGATATCAGTAATGTGTGAAGAAACCTCAGGAAGTGCACTCATCCTCCTGCCACAAAGGGCTGTCAGCTACTCAGACCCGCCGCCTGGAGAGGCAGTTAAAAAAGAAAATCACAATTATTTGAGGCGTTTGATCCCACATGTTTGGTTTGGGATATTTGATTTTGTGCTTTTAACTGCTTTTAACTGCTTTTTTGGCTTTTGGCGTTTTATCGACACGCATTCTGAGGCATCCAGGCAGGACAGGTGCATGCGGTTTAAAACCCCATAGGTCAGACGGAAGTACCAAAGCACCTCCACTCCTTCGGCCCAATATGGGAACACAGGTCCATTATGAACCGGGGCTCAGGACAGCCTGCAGCTTTCACAAGAGAGAAAGTCTCCGTCCATTCCAGCTGCTTATGATAGCAGTGATTGAGTTCAGTCCCAGAGCTCAGCACAATGCGCACTTTGTGAACACAAAATACTTGGACAAGCCCCCCCCACTCCCCCACCTTTTCTTCCTTAGTCCAGCTCTCTAGTTACCCGCGGCTTTCAGTCATAATTGTCTTGTAGTTTCATGTCAACTCCTTTAAGCTGAAATAAGACGCTGATGTTGCTTTAAGAACAGCTTAAGCCTTTTTCTTTTTTTTCTTTTTTCTTGGTGCCAGGGCATGTTTTGCTATCAGTGTGTTTCATCTGCAAGAGAGAGTTCAAAGCACGTCAAAAATTCCTGAGGTGCTTTCCTTCTCTTTTCACACTCCACAATGTAATCGCTCCTTCCTCTCCGTCTTCATCCTGCCAGCTGACAACCCTTCGAGGTTCAATACTGGAGGATGCGGTTCCTTCCACCTCGAAGCACGGCACCACCCGCGGGCTGCCCATCAAAGAGGTACTGGAGTACCTGCTGCCAGAACTGGATCTGTCCTGCCTCAGACTGGCTCTCAACACACCCAAAGTCACAGAGCAGCTGATGAAACTGGATGAACAAGGGGTAGGCGGATGACACGCAGCATATTGTTACAGAAAGGCGATTTGTTTTCGCTCGGCTGCTGCTAGCCACTCGGTCCCAAAGCGGTCTGGTGAAAGAAGGACTGTGTTTCTCTGTTGGTCTCCAGCTGAGTTTTCAGGTGAAAGTGGGCGTGATGTACTGCCGAGCAGGGCAGAGCACAGAGGAGGAGATGTACAACAACGAGACAGCGGGGCCCGCCCTGGAAGAGTTCCTCCAGCTGCTGGGGGACAAGGTCCGCCTCAAGGGCTTCACCAAATACAGAGCCCAGCTGGACACCAAAAGTAACCGCTCACTGATGACACACGCACTTTGTTCTTTCACTTAGCGCGACCTCGGTTAGCCTGCAGTGGATCTTAAAAGCAGCTTATTGCTGGGCCTGACTTGATCCATACACTGGATCACTTTTAAGGCTGTTCATGTAATACATATTATGGGCTTTTACGCAGGGACATTTTTTTATAGCTTCAGTTTTAGCTGTGTAATGTAACACACTTCACAGTTGGTGATCTTTGTCCCCCATTAGTGGCAACTGAAAATGAAACAAGTTTCTTTTGCAGGATGCATGAGTAAAACAATTGCTAATTCTCTACATGAACATTAGTTTTCAGGGGCTGACATCGATACGCAGCTCACTATTGTCTAGCTGTTGGGGCTGTGGTGACATTGCATCCTGTCATGCACAGAGACACACTTGAGCACACATGTTAGAAAGGCGAATAGCAGTTTTACAATGAGTCTCAAAGCTGTCTTTCCTTTTTTTGTTTCCTGCAGCGGATTCCACGGGCACCCACTCCCTGTACACCTCCTACAAGGACTATGAGATCATGTTTCACGTGTCGACTCTACTGCCATACACGCCCAACAACAAACAGCAGGTAAAGACGGGGAGCGCAGCCTCTGCTCTGTTAATTCAGCTGGAAACGGGGAAACTGTGTAGGAACAGATGCACCAAAGATAACCTGAGAGAGTTTTGAGAAGTGCATGATGACATGTGGCTGATATAATTTCATCTGATATAATTTCATTTTGAAGAACTTTTTTTAATTCACAAAAATTCTTGGCCTGGTTTTGCTTTCAACTACAAAGTTGCTACTTCTCATAACAAACATTGTTTTTCCAGTTGCTGAGGAAACGCCACATTGGGAACGACATTGTGACCATTGTGTTCCAGGAGCCGGGAGCTCACCCTTTCACTCCCAGGGCCGTTCGCTCGCACTTTCAGCATGTCTTCATCATGGTGCGGGTGCACGACCCCTGCTCCGACAACACATGCTACAGGTTGGTGTTTGTGCTCGAATGTCAGAGACAATAACAGTGAAATGAAATAATCCAAATGTGAGCCATCGTGCCGCTCATTGAGCAAGAGGTTATTGAGAAAAAGTGAGATGATAGCAATAAAGACCGTTTACTGGAGACAAAGGAGCCTTGTTGCAATTTAAAGTAGGCCAAACTGGCCAAACTGCAGAGATAGGTCACTCTTTTGGACCTTTAAAAGCTGAAGGCCACCCTCTCAGTTGTAGCAGGGATGCTTTCATGCAGGTGGCTGCACTGGCATTAAGACAAAAAGCATTGGCTGCAAGGCATCGGTCAAACATAACAGCCTGTTGCCACGCTAATGCCCTCTGTTTATGGCCGCGGATGCTTGTCTCAATTGTAACTGTGTACAAGGATAAATCTGCTTGATTACAGTCAGCGAAGAGTCGGCTTAGCTGTGCAGTCACGGTTGTGCTGCTGTTTGCTTCTTCTGCTGGCTTTGTCTTGGGTTGCGGGATGATGCGCCTCTATTCTCTCTGACATTAACACTTATTCCACTCCACACGCCTTTTCCATGCTCCCAACACACAGATTAAGCACACATAGTTCCTCTCTGTCACTCCCGTAGTCCCATTTCTCCATTAAACCTTGTTCTCTTGCTCTCTTGCACACAGTTACACACATTTTTCCTACTTGTACACCAATTCACTCAAAGACTCCCTCTTCACACACTGGTATAATACAACAGACCACCCCCCCACCCCCGCCTCCCCTCTCCCTTCTCCCTGCCTGCCACTTTGCCTCTAGGCAGCATGAGTCGGAGTGGTCTGAAGGAGTTAGCGCCATGCACATGAAGTGCTCTCTTCACCCGCACATGCATGTGAGAGGGGAGGACTGTGATGAGCAGTGCTCCTCAGACCTCACAGAGTCCAGCTCTGGTGCAGACGGGTCAGGCCAGCCTCGGCCTCTCACAGCCGTGTTACATTTAGATAATTACACTTTGAGGGCCTTTTTTTTGGGTCCGTGCTCATATCCCTTTTTTTCCTTCACCTTTTCACTCTCTGGTCAACCTCTGGACACTTTCCTACAGTTTGCTTTCCTCCTGAATGGATCATCTTTTGGTTTATACTCTGGGAAGAACGAAAAGGCTGGAATACTAGTTTTCCTGGTTGACCTTATAGCTGAAATGGAGAGGCGGAAGATATAGAATCCTTGAGGACAATCCAGCTACCCCACCCAGGGTAACTTACTCTCTCAACCCTCAGCTTTGACTTATAATCTGTGGACCGAGGCGCCATATGTTCAGACTTCAGTCGGGACTCTTTGTCACTAATCTTTCCCCAGATTTTTTTTCCCCCTTCTGATTGTTGGAAACATTTCTGGGTCAATACAAAATAATTCAGTTCCAAGGCTGCAGCATACTTGGAGAGAACTGCGTTAGCATTAACTTGCTGGATAGTTTGCCCACTTTGCACTGAGCCCAAAAGAAATTCAGGGTGTTGATAAACTGAAAAGCATGATCGCCTTTCCCTGAAGGAGGTAAGTTGCTGATTTCCGCGTTGTTTTTGTTTTGTTTAATTTCAGCCGGCGTTGCCTAGAACCGTAAATGGGACGTGTTGCAATGATTTGATTCTGCTCTGATTGGACACATAGCTCTCTCATTATCAGCTGATCCGTTCCCCCTGTGCGGCTCAAACACTCCACAGACACATCACATGCACTTTCTTCCCACACAGTGATTGTTTTGATTTTTGTCCTCCCCTCACATGACTTTCTACCTCTGCTTTTTAATAGCTAACATTGATAATGCACCTCTCTAATCCCTATTATTAAGGAGTATGTTATGATTTGTTGAGTCATCTGGTTATTAATAGTCTGTGTTTGCCTGCTGCTGAGATTTGGATAAGGCTCTGCTCGTATTGAGCCAGTCCAGAGCATTAAAGGAGTGGGCGGCCTGGGGCCAGCAGGCTGCTAATCTACTGCTTTCAACCGCTGCCTCAAAGTCACACGGGGCCAGCAAGAAGGATTGCATAACGAGATCTTTGTTTAGGAAATGTAGGTTTTTGTGCTCGCTCGCCCCGGCCGCATTTCTCCTTCTCCGTACCGTGATTTAGTGAATCATGGCAGGATGACAGCACTGGGAGCTGGCGTTTCATCTTTGACTGTATAGTATTTATGTGTCAGGACATATTCAGCTTTTGGTGTGCAACATTTCTGCTACAGGCAGTATTTGTATGATCTCTTTAATGGGCTGGATGGAGACTTGTCAGGATTGTCACAATGGCTCACCCAAATAAGCTTCTTGGGTTTTTATTGTTTGTGTGCCTTTAACCTACACACTTCTGACTGTATTGATGTTTGCATTCGTAAGGGCTTTGCAGCATCCACTCTTTGGGAAATACTGGGGGTGCTAACATGCGCACTTTCTCCATCTTGATTTGACCTCACCTATTTGATTTTGTGCTGAGAACCAAGTTGGTTATGATGAATGTGTCTTTGGCGATGATCCACACCCGCTCATTAGTTTAAAGTAATTTAACTCCGGAGGGAAGGTAACAGGAGGAGAGCACTGCCTGCAGGATTTTGAACGCCCTTCTTTGTACGAACAAGTGAAACAGGTCAAAGGCAACAAAAGGCTTTATAACCAACGGATGCCATGTTTGTGTCTGCTGTGAATAACGCTTTCCCCTCATTTTATGTGAGTTCGTAGCACTTTGAGTCCTTTTTACTGCTACAAAGGTGAGAAACAGTAAGAAACATGTTCTGTGACAGAGCTGTCTCACCTCCTGTTCTTCCTCTGCCTCTGCAGTGTGGCTGTCACCCGCTCTCAAGACGTCCCCTCCTTCGGCCCACCCATCCCCAAGGGTGTCACCTTCCCGAAATCTACCGTCTTCCGGGACTTCTTACTAGCCAAAGTCATCAACGCCGAGAACGCAGCCCACAAGTCGGACAAGTTCGGTGCCATGGCAACGCGCACGAGGCAGGAGTACCTGCGGGACCTGGCGGAGCGCCACGTGACCACCACACCAGTGGAGCCCACCGGGAAATTTCCCTTCATCTCCCTGGCTCACAAAAGGCGGGAAAAGGTGCGTCCGTACAGCGGGGCGGAGCTGCGGAGCCTGGGCGCCATAACCTGGCAGGTCCACGCCGAAGATCAGGTGGCGGGGGCCGAACGGGAGTGCCTGCTGGCCATCTCCAACGACTTCATCATCCTGCTGGACCAAGAGGCCAAGGCGGTGGTGTTCAACTGCGCCACGCGGGACGTGATCGGCTGGTCGACCGGCAGCCCCGCCTCCATGAAGATCTACTACGAGCGCGGGGAGAGCGTATCGCTGCGCTCCATCAACAACAACACAGAGGACTTCGGAGAGGTCGTCAAAAGACTGGAGGTGAGTGGTGCCGCCTCGCCACGCCATCAGCACGCACCTGCCTGACTCACGCCACCGGGGGCTGCTTTGCAGGTCACACTTTGGCCTTTTTAAGCTTGCCCTAATATACTTTTACAAACAGTTATCGGGAGATTTTATTCCGTGGACCTCGGTTTTCACCTAGGAGAGTGGGAGCACGTTTTTCTCTCTAACCACCATCCTGAAATCTGCAGAAAACACAGAAGAGTAAAAGCCGAGCATTGTTGATATTATTATAGCTGCATATGGGTGTAGCCTTTAAAAATAAACCATCCCAAAGTCGCCTCCGCTGTGTTGACACTGCGAGAAGGTATAATCCATTGTAATTTGCTTATATAATGTCATTACTGGGGCTTATAGCTGGTGTAGGTAAGGCAGTGTTTTAGTGGCATATTGAAATTACTCTGGGATTGCAAAGCCTGCTGATGTTAAACAAAGTGTGAAAAAGTGGCCGCTGCTTGTTTCACTGTGATCAGTACTGGTTCTTATTTAATTTGCAGAAGCTTTGCTGTTAGTATCATCCATTGTGTCACCGTCCACTTCTGTCCACTGTGTTCACAGCTGCTGACCAAGGGAAGCCAGACCACAGAGATGACGCTGCGCCGCAACGCTCTGGGCCAGTTGGGCTTTCATGTCAACTTCGAGGGGATAGTAGCCGAAGTGGAGCCCTACGGGTACGCCTGGCAGGCTGGGCTAAGGCAGGGCAGCCGATTGGTGGAGATCTGCAAGGTGTCGGTGGCCTCTCTGTCTCACGAGCAGATGATCGACCTGCTAAGAACCACAGTCACGGTGAAGGTGGTCATCATTCCCCCACATGACGACTCCACTCCACGCAGGTAGAGTTAATATAGCCAATCATGGTTTGAAAGAGTTTTGTTGTTTGTTTTTTTTCAAATGTTTTCTCTCTGAACGTTCCATCAGAGGCTGCTCCGAAATATACCACATGCCACTTGTGGACTACAAGAACCACAAAGAAGGAATGCCATATGAGTTAAAGTTCCCCTTCCGCCCAGCAAACAACAACAACAGCAAGTGGCCGCGCACCTCGTCCAGCCCTCAAACTCGCGCCGCTGGCTCGGGGGGAACCCTCATCAAGGCCCCGCCCTCCGAACTCAGCGACCGCGGCTGTGCTGTTATTCCCCGCAGCGTGTCCAGCGACGGGCGGCCTCTCAACCCAAAAAGGTCACAGAATAAATACATTAGTGTTTTTTTGTTCCTCGCAGACACACCAGAAATATATCTGTCCGCCTTCGGCATGTGTCCCTAACGCCATCCGTATGCGACCTTGCAGATATTCCCCCGGGAATGAAAACTATGCTCTCGCCTGCTCCATTGTGATGGGCCGCACACTGCACAACACAAACTCACCCTCCAGCCTCTCCTACACAGACACCGTGAGCTCCGGCCACTGGAGGCAGAAGTCCATGCCTGATGGGTGAGCTCACCCCCCCCCCCCGGCTGCAGATCCCGCCTGCTGTACCTTTATTTATTTTATTTCCTGAGAAGTTAACATAGATTATTTTCTTGTTCTCTCATCCAGGTTTAATAACAACTGCCAGTCGCCGGGGTCATCCGTGCGGCAGGTGGCCGGTGAGGAGGGCATTGGGATGAAGGCGTGCTCTAGCGGTGGGGTCGGATGGACCCGACCGGGGGAGGGGGACGCGGCCGGAAGGCACGGGGACAAAACCGGCTCAGGTGAGCCGATTTTTCTAAACCCGGCAGGGATTCATCCAACCGACTCTGCGCTGCAACTCTCTTAACTCATCTGTGCCCTGTAGACACTGTGGTGTCCAAGGTGGTGATTCCTCGGCTGCAGGCGTCCGATCAGAGCAGCCACATGTCCCCCAACAAGAGCACCAAGGTGAGCCGCTGCAGAATGGCCGACGAGGATCCTGCGGCACCTGCGTTTTACCACCGAAGAGAGAGAGGCGGGGCGTTTGCAGACTTGGTCATTTGTGTTCTCCTCCGTTGACAGACAGACGCTCCGTACTCGTCCAGCCAGTCCAGCAGCAACACGCTGTCCAGCAACGCCTCCAGCTCGGCGCACAGCGACGAGAAGTGGTACGAGGTGGGCTCCCGGTCCGGAGCCCGCAGCGACCTGGAGCTCAACGGCTACCTGCAGGGCGCCTCCACCGACAGCGGCATAGACGCCACCTCTTTCACCGCCACCCAGAGCAGCACGGCCTCCTCCACCGGAGCCTCCCGGGCCAAGGAGAAGACGCCATGGCGGGAAGATCCCGCCGACGGCCAGAGAGGCGCCGACTCCTCCCCGCCGACACCCGACTGTCACGTCGCCACGGGAGGCAGCGAGAAAAGCCCCGCCGCCGTTCCAGTGGGGGCAGATAGCGGTTCCTACAGCCTGAGCGATGCCGCCTCCCACTCTAGGTGTGCCGATGTTCTGTTAGCTGCACTTGATTAAACAGACAGTGATTCATTGTAGTGGAGGTGTTTCCAGTACAGATGAAAAAAATCCACGAGCCTGCAGCTTGGCATTAGCAGAGGGAAGGGAGCAGAAGAATGAAAGTGCGGCTTTGCATTTGTATGTATGTCAGGCTTGTGGCGTGTGTGATAGAAAGAAAACGCTTGAAGTAGCAAGAAATTCACACTGAGAGTTCAGCACTGCTCCCCCTCCTCTAAATCCCACATCCTTTGAATCAAATAAAGCTTTGCTCATCTTCATTCAGACAAAAATAGCTCACTATCATCAGACGTCTACACTGACAGCTTTGTTTTATTGTATGTGCACACATGCAACGGGAAACTTTGTTTGAAAATCTAATCTTTTAGGGCCCGCCTTGCAAACATTGTTATTTGTTTTAGACGGATGGAAAGGACACGCGAGGACACCGTGCCCTATTTTCTATTCATGAAATCATTAGTTGATCCTGTTGGTTGGAAATGCTCTGATGAAACAAGCCAGCTAAAGGTTTTAGGTTTGATGTACAGTCCAAACGCAACAACTGAAAGAATTCACAGAGCAAGAACTCATTAGACGAAACATGTCCAACCAGCAAAATCCATTAAACTAAGGCCGGGTTTTTTTTTTCTCCTCCGTCCTGTTTACAGCACAATCAGCTCCGGTCACTCAGGGAGTCCGGTGGGACAGGGCTGCAGCGCCGGGCCACCCCAGAACGAGGCGCCCGCCACAAACGTCTCACCCACATCTCAAGCCTCCCAGAACCCCCTGTCCCCGGGTACCAAGAGCTTCTACCCTCGTCAGGGAGCGACCTCAAAGTACCTTATTGGCTGGAGGAAGCCAGGCGGAACTGTGAACCCCGTGGACTTTGGCAGCACTCGCAAGTACGAAATGAAGTGTAAAGATTTGGGGGATTGTTTCACTGAGGATCTGGGAATGTAACCAGCAGAGAAATGAGTGTGAAAGTGAAATGAAATGCTTTCCGTCGCGGTGCGTTTATTCTGTCTCACACGTCCAGAGACTGCTGTGCTAGTTTGTTAGGGTGTTTTTTTTTTTATGCAGTTAACAGTGCCCTCATGTGGTGTAACTGAGTTTTGAAGCAGCTTTCTCAGTTTGCAGGAAAGGATGATTGAGCATCCTTTACTTTTTCCATGAAATGTTTTTGATTTGGCTTCGAGGCCGATTGCATCATTTATGGATGACAAATCGATGACAGATGCCACGCTCGCCCCTCTCCAGTGTAATCTGTCATATCGAGATAGGAGAGACTTCTCACAAAATTTTGTTTTGCTCTCGTCTGCAGACGGCACCAGAGCGACGGCCTGCTGGGAGGTCAACCTCAGCTCAGGGCCAATCTCCGAGGCTCCCAGTCACCCCAGCGGCAAACTGCCAAATCCAGCCTGGAAGAAGACTTGAAGAAGCTCATCACACTTGACAGCCCTCCTCCCACTACAAACGAAGAGAAGGTGTGGGAAAAGTGGCATCCTACCATGGGGATTAGATGATGAACGTGTTATTTGTGGTGCACCAAAAGCTCAGCAAACAGCAGAACACTCAGATTTGGGTTTGATAATATGCCAATGTTTTCTAATGGGGGCTAGCAGTTGATATGGAGCTGGGAGTTGAAACAAACAGTGGAAATAAGTTCCTGAGCTAAAACTTTTGTCAACAAAAACACAGATCAGGGAAACCCTACAAAAGATTAAACATAAATGGAAGGCAAATAAAAATAAAAAAAAACTAATTAATGAGCATTTAAAGGATTTGTTGAAAGTTAAGACAAATATTTCATTTTGTTTGAGGTCGTGGAAACCTAATTTAAGAAGATCAAAAAGAAATTGAAAACAGTCTGTATCACATTTACTGCCATCTAGTGGTCGTGCTGGATATAACCAGCCACTGACTAACAACAGAGAGGAGATATTTCAACTTTAATGTTTTAGACCATCTGTCAAGCAGAAAACGGCCGACTCTGATGAAAGTTTCTTCATTAGCATTTCCATCTGGAAAAAGCCACTTCAACACTTTATCTATAAATAATAGTTTAAATTCTAACTTCTTTTTTCTGCAAAAAAAAATACAAGTAATTTAAATTTAAAAAGATTTTGAAGAGCCAAAATCACATGTCGTGCTAAATGGTGATAAAATAATTTCATTGATGTCCAAAATGGGAGCGAGGCTACACGAGGACGCCTCAGTGACATTTAGGTTGTTATATCTCTAAACGTTAGGAGCCACTGAGGTCCTTGTTTTGAGCTTTCATTTCAGAGAGGCTCCTTTAAGTTCGACAACATCTGCGGTTTGTTTGTCACTTCTCATTCATCCTCTTGTCCGTCCTCTCCGAAGCCGCTGTTTCCCGGCCCGCCGGCCAGACGCCGCTCTCTTCAGAGAACGCTGTCAGATGAGAGCATCTACAGCGGGCAGAGGGACTTCAGTGGACAGCGGGACACGCCCACTGACCTCCTCTTCACCTGCTCCACCGTTCCACGGTCACCCACCACCCGGAAAGGACCGAGCCGGAGAGCCTCACACAAATCCCTGGGTGAATATCTACCTTTCAGATGACGAAATACTGAGATCAGACCATTTTGGCTCCCAGAACGTAATCCTGAGAAAGCACAGCAAACATAATGAAACTGCGTACCGTCTGAATATGGGTTCTTTTTTTTTTTGCGTAATAGTTGTCTGCGTGTGTCATCAAGTACTGTTTGATCCTCCCAGGAGACCTGACGGCCCCGGAGAGCTCGGAGCTGGAGCAGGAGAGGAGGAGGCAGCAGCAGCTGGAGCCTGTCCTCATGCCCCTGCCCGACACCGGGGCCGACGGCCCGCTCGACTGGGCCCACTTGGTGGACGCCGCCAAGGCCTTTGAGGGTAGGCATACATCTTGTTTCAAAAATCGATCAAAGTAAAGGTTGTGATTAGCATGTGATGTAGCACTTTTCAGTGGGAAGCGGAAGGGAGGGGACGCTGCTGTCATCTGTATTCACCTCAGAAAAGGGCAGCCATGCGTCTGTGTTTGCTCTCTCTCGATCCGATAGCCCGCGTTTTGTGTTTTTTTACAGAGCAAAGGCTGGTTTTTCTAGCAGCTCAAGAGGAGAATTCGGCAGCGGAGAGCGCAGCCGCTTCCAGCTCGCAGCAGGCCGAGCCCCAGGCAGCTCCGCAGAGACAGCCTTCGCCCGGGTAATGAGCCTCAGGTCAAAGCCTGGGACCGGTGTTTGTTTTATTTCACTGTTTTCCAGCACTGTGACCCAGCTGATCGAATCCCAGCGCCTCACTCTGGCTGCTAATATCAGTTATTACTCCTCTTCCCTGGTTGACTCCCTTCAGACTGTTGGGCTAACGTCCTGGTTGATCATTCCCTTAGAGAGACTCCGGCCTGCTTGATGGGGAAAGTGAGCCAGCTCGAGACCATGGTGAAGGTACTGCAGGAGGACCTGAAGAAGGTGAATTGAACTGCTCTCTTCTCCGGCTGAAGCTGATATAATGTGATATCAGTGATTTAAAAAAAAAACTTTTTGACAGTAAACCTTTTTGTCATCATCAGGAGAGGGACGCCAAGGCCTCTTTGCAGGCTCAGATTCAGAGCCTGCGAGAGGACAACCAGCGCCTCCTGGAGGAGTCGTACAGCGCCTCAGCCAAGCTAAAGAAGTTCACAGAGTGGGTCTTCAACACAATCGACATGAACTGAGGCACCCAGACAGCAACTGCTCTCCACAAATGTAACCACTACTTAAGTTGTTTTCAGTGACACAGACTTACTTGCAAAACGGATTGGCTTTGGTCTCCACAAACCAGCGCTAACATGGGTTTACATGCCATCCTGCTTCAGCTACGTGGATCCAGGGGCCACAAAAGACAAAAGACTCATGAGAAAAAGACAGGGGGATGGAGAAAAAGAGCTGTGAGGTGTAACTGTGTCAGATGTTATCAGCATGCACTCCCTTAGGAGTACAAAAATTATGTAATGCTTTGTTTCCAAATGTTTCTAAATGACTGTTGGTATCCCTGCATGTCAGAGAGAGCACGGCGTTGGAACTAACCTCAAGGGATTTGAAGTTACTGTCCTCATTTAGCTCTTCAGCTAACCTAATTAAACGTCAACAGACTTCCAATTAAAAAGCTCAAATTAAAATTTCTTCATCCCCTGCAAGAGTTTTTTTTTTTTTTTTTTAATATAGTCCCATGTCCCTGATAAAGGTTGGTACTTTAGAACTAAATGTGTTGATATTCTTCAACTTTACGAATTAGAAGTTGACTAAACTGATTTTTTAAAAAGATTTTTTTATTACTAACCAAAAAACTGACGATATGAGACGGTGGAAGATGTCATTTAGATGGTAGTGTGGACAGGTGGAGGACAGACGGCGCATACTGTGAGTGCTGTACAGTGAAGTGCTGGTCTGGATGTAGATGTTTGTGCAGGTTAAGTGTTGTTGCAAGTCAACCTCAAAAAGAGCTACTGGACTGCTCACAAGCAAAGAAAAAACGTATTTTACAAACACAGAGAGGGCAAAGATACAAATAGACAATTCAGACTATTGTAAATATGTGATTTTAACATTTATTTTTCTCATGCCTCTCCCTCAGTACTATAATATAATGAATATTTAAGAAAGAAATGGTGGCCAATATAGAAATGTCTATATTGTATGTCTTTAAATTCTAAAATTATCAAGATGGCTAACTTTTACCTGAAATTCCAATTATTATTATTATTATTATTATAATTGTTATTACTTTTTGGCTTGAAAAGTTTTGTTGCCCTGCTGGCTGCAGTGGTTTGACTGACAGTGCCACTTAGTCTTGACACCATGTAACCTACGACATGGACCTGACCCCTTCTCCATCAGTAGCATGTGAAATGGCCTCAATCTGGTCGTTAGGTCTCAGAATAGATTCAATCGGTACTGTTCGGAGTGTGATTACACCGTAAGATTTACCGTTCCAACTACAGAGTCTTTCCTGTGGTGTGCAAATCTGCTCGGAAGCCCAACACAAGTTTGGCCTGTAGATGGCCAAAGTCCTTATTTAAGCCTCATACTGTAATTGCTTCCTTTTGTACTCAGACACTGTGCAACTGTATATAAAGAGAATTTAATATTCATCAAAATTTGCACCTTCATTATTATTTTTTACAGTTTTTTATGTTTTTTTTTTTTTTTTGGTTGTTCTGGCAAGAGGAGAATGAAAGGAATCTCACTTAGATCAAACGGGAAAAGACAGGACTTAGAACACGAGGCGGACTTTAGAGGAATGTGTCCCTAATGGTGCAGATCGCCCCTTTGCCTTCATTCTTAACATGTGTGACAGCATGTGATTCTGTTTCCATTGAGCTGTGATGTGTAAAAAAAATGGTTTATATCTATTAAAGATATTTTGTTGAATTTCACACAGTCTGGATGAGTTGTTTTCTACAGCAGCAGTTTATGGCAGACGTATGAGAGGCCATAATTACACACATAGCATCACACTATCTCACAAGCACTATTAAACTGTGATGCATACACTATAGTTAAGTTGTTTTCACATATGATGTATCATTATTACATAATTTCCAACTCATGGTGGGGCTCTTCTCCCACAAAGCAAAGTCCATTGCAGCATTGAGTGTCTGCACCTCCTCTTATGTTTTATGTTCCTCTTTCATGATCTGAAGGTTCTCGTTTCATTTCCTGTGTTCTTCCCTCTCTTTATTTTGTGTTTGCTGTTGCTGTGCTGATAAGTTTCTGCCCGCTCCCGTTTAAGTTCTGGCCGTTCTTCGTGTCTTGTGCTTCATTTTTAAAGGTTGCCTTTCTTCTGGGTTGCCTGATTTAATTACTGGTAGTCTGTTTGTCCTGTTCCCTCCGCTTTGATTATCTTGTTTCCCTCTGTATTTTGTGACCCCGTCAGCCCTTCGGTGGAAACTTTAAAAGTCTTTTCATCAGTTTGTTTTCTCAGAAAAATGTAACTTTTTTTTTGTTCTGCAGATTTTTCTTGTTTTCCTATTTCTTATTGTTATTATTAAAAATTAAGGCATACTATATTGGTGTAATTTAAAACCATCTGTGTTATAAGAAATATTTTATATTTGCAGAGATTCATTAATTTTGTCTTAATAGTTCATTAATCTTAATAGTTGATTTCTGTATTGTGAAAATTTTTCACGTGACAGTGAGGCTTCACGCTTAGCACTTTTAACCTGTCAGCAGAGCCGTTTACCTGATATGTCGCTTGAAATTAAGCTTTGGGGAACTTTGGTAAGAAAAGACAGTGAATGGTGAGAAATTATCGTAAGTCTTGCTTCAGTTGAAAAATCAGCTTTTGAGGTAATGGTTCCACCTAACCCAAATTGTTTCTTCCCCTCCATTTCTTTTCTTTACTTGTAAGCCGATCCAGCTGCTTTTTTTTTATCAGAAAAGCTGTTCGCTCTCTTTTATTGAAGCACCAGCCGTGGCAAGCTGAATTTTTGGGTTTAAGTGCATGTTTCAGCCAGTTAATGGGTTATTTGAATAATTTTCTTGGAATCAGCGACAGGTATGTTAGGGCACAATCATAGTTTCTGTCCTCGTTTCTGACATTTATCACAATAAGAAGGGGGTTAAAACAAGGGACTAATATATGTTCAGGCAAACATAAATAAAGTGTTTTCTTTTGGAACCTGAAGGTGAAGTTAATATGTAGACTTTGCCACATAATGATCAACTGAATTATATTAACATCACTCATTTAAATTGTGTCGTTACTCAGGAATTTATATGACGTAAGATTAGTGTCCTCTCCCCAATCCTGAAAAATATGTTGGAATTGTAAGAAAGTGACACACAATGCTGACTCTTGCAGTCTGTGAGATTAACAGTATGTCTACCTGAGGTGATTAAACAGCCGGAAGCAGTGAGATCCTAGCACATCCCCTCCATTGGTCCTCAGCCCTGGTTGCTGACTTTGAGCCCTCAGTGCTATGAGGACTTAAGACTCATCTCTGAGCTCCAAACAGCTGGGCCCCTTCATCTGCATCCTGGTCTCCTGCAGCTGCCACAGATTGACGCTGCTAAAAATGTTCCCTGTATAAGCGAGACACTCACAAGCCGCTACGATCCGAAGGACTCCAGCCTCGACAACATGAGACTTTCTTTCAGCTTTTGCAAATGGTTCAACTCTCCAACCTGCAGCTCCACTGTGAGATGCTTGCTGCTAATCTTTCTGCTAATCTCTCATCAAATCCCAGTCACTGATTAATTTTGATTTCATTCAGAGACAAATCAGGGATAGCTGAAGACGATGAATGAATGAATAATGGCTGCTTGATAAATGAGAAATAAACTGTTATTCTTCATTTGAGATAATCATGGAGAGGATAAAATCACATAAGAAATGATTGTGGATGAATGTTCAGTCCCTCTGTACCTTTGTTTGTATTTTATACATCCTGGATCCACTCCAAGCTGAACTGTTCCCTGTTGCCGGACTGTAAGCGGAGCTTCTTTGGCATTTGTTTTGCTTCCCTGTGCTGTATGCATAAATCAGTGTCATGGAAGAGCGGTCAGCTCTGCATCTGGACTGGTGAAGATCGTTATTCCAGCAATGACCTCCTGACAACAGTATATTTAAATGAAAAAAAAAAACTGTGTGCTGCTGCGAATGTACAAAATGTGTACTTATTGAGCACTTTCTGAGCACAGTCTTGCACACATGCAAAAGTTTCCCATGACGTTTCATTGCTCAAGGGGAGTTGTGCTGTTGTGCTTTTTATTGTTTTCTCTAATACATGAAATGTTATGTCAGCTTCAAGTTTGTGGTTAAAAAATGTTTCTCTTTTCCTTCTTTAGAACTTCTTCTTTTTCCGGATAATCATATTGTTGGAATTTTCATCCTCTGGTAAACTTTTGGAAACTGAGTCATCTTGTTGGCCGATACATTCAACTCCTTCATGTGGCACAGGGGTTGATCAGCAGAAGAGAATGAGTTACCAACAACGATATTATGTCCACAACAACTGCAGATCAGAGTATGGGAGAGGTCTCTGAGAGATAGAAGAACTCCACCGACACGTTCCCTAAAAGGACACAATGGCGAGAACTGTCATACACTGCCGACAACAACATAAATCCCATATATGCTCTCACAAGTATATATAAAAGTAGATTGCAAAAACAATCCCATAACACACTGCTACTAACACTCAAAGGTCCTCAGATGAGTGATGGTGATTATCTGTCTTAGGGGTCTATAAGCCAGGCTCTGACCCACTTCAACAGGTCATTATATAAGTAAATTTTGAATGCCACAAAGGGGGGCTTTATATTTACTTATTTGGATATGAAAACCATCATCAATCAGGAAAAGATAATGACTGACACAATGTATACCGTTAGCAAGGAATGGCCTAAACTCTGCTAAAAAAACTGACCATTTTCCAGCTCGCCGCTTTGTGTTTTCTATCTTTGTGCCTGCAGGATTATTACCGCATTAAGCTCTTTTTTATAAGTTGTCTTATTGTTGGGTAAATTGAGAAAACTGAAACCACTCCTTGTGTTTATTGATGCGCCTCTACAAACGGGTACCTGCAGGAGGTGGCTGCCTGCTGCTCTATTGTGATATTCAAAGATGTGGGTTTTCCATTTATGGGTATAGGCATGATTAGACGGGGCATTTGACCGCACAGAGAGGGGAGGGGAGGGGGGGGGGGTTGCTGGAAGGAACAGTTTGGTGGATGTTGATACTTTTAACAATTCTTAAGTTGCCCATTAAAGTTTTCCTAAGTTAAAAAGCTGACAGTTACTTTCTCCCACTACTCCTGACCTACCTGGGAGATTGTTAGCAGCCCGGGGTTCACTTTCTAATCGTCAGGAACACATTTGCATCTTGTAATTGCTCCCCTCAGGATGCAGGTTTACTGTCCCTATATGCAGCACTGATGGGTACAGCTTGTCTTTTGTTCTATCTGCTAGAAATATTTTCAGTATATTAAAACATTGGTTTTACTTAATTTATTCCATGATTCATTCTGACAGTGCTACTGGTTAGGTCAGTTTTTGTTTCTATATTATCTATGGTTGACTGTTCTATGTAAAACAAATAGCCCTATAGGGACATTTGACTTTTTTCTTAATTGATCTCATGCAGTGTTTTATCATTTCAGACCGATTCCCCGACCTAGCACAGCAGAGGGACCTTTAAGGAAACAGATATTAAAATCAATTAAATCTGCTTAGCAGCTTCCCGAATAACGATTCGTTTCAAACTGTGTCAAGTTTGAAACATGAGCAAAGCATAGCCGTGCTCTCGAATGAATCTGTCCGCATCCTAATGTGAACAGAGAGTTGGAAACTGACAAATACACGTTTGCTTGTTTAGATTTCTCTGTTTACCGCGTAGCATGAACTGATCTCACCCGGCAACAATTGTGGTAGTTTGAGGCATCCTTTGAATCCTGTCTCCTGGACCCTTGTTGGACTGTGCCTGGACAGTGGTGTGACTCTCTGGCTGTGGTGTGGCTATGAACAGGCTGTTCAATAATTTAGCATTAATGCAGATTATAGCTGGGCTGGCCCCCTTAAAGCAGATTAGAAAAGTCCCTGTCTGCCTGTCTTACTGTCTGCCTGTCTCTCTCTCTCTCTCTCTCTGTCTGTGTCTCTGTCTGTCTGTCTGAAGGTACGCTAGTTGCAGATCAGTGCAGTGTGAGTCATGTGTGTAGTTGTAACCATCAGGGGATGGGTAGTTATGTCACATTGCTATATTTGCACTGCATTCAGAGAGAGGAAGATAGTTGTGGTAGTGGATCTGTGTTAGTGTTGGTGGGAGGTAGGGTGTAATGCTCAGAACCGTGTGTGGGGAGAGCCCTGCAGACCACGCTCACATTCACGCTGGAGGTGCGTCACCACGGGCCCTGACCTCGGTTTCCCCGGGTTACCAATGGGACAGAGCTGTTTTGTCTTGGTCAAAATTGTCATTTTATTATTTTTTTCATTGACAAAACACAAGTCGAGCTTTTGAGACTTTTTCAAAAGTCTGGACAGATTTTGACTTGGGTTTCCATGTTTTCCAAAGCAATAAAAAGAGTTCTTCAAGGTGCTAAAAGTCATTGGTAGAAAGGAGGGAAAAAAGAGAGAAACACTGCAAAGAAAAGCTGTCTGTGTAGTTCTTCGATAGCTGTTTAACTAGTTGTGTCTACACAAACATATGTTTGTGCGTGGCTCTGTGGTTCTGTGCCTGTGTGTGTGTGTGTGTGTGTGTGTGTGTGTGTGTGTGTGTGTGTGTGTGTGTGTGTGTGTGTGTGTGTGCTCACTCTGCATGCGCGCATGCGTTAACAATTGGCCTTACCATGTATTTCTGGCATATCACGCTCCGGGGCTTTTGGATCTTATTTACTACAGGGGGAAAGGGTTTATTCATTAGGGGTGCCATTTAAGCTTGAACGATTCAGAGTTTCCATGGAGAGAAAAAAAAAAACAGGAGGACATGTAAAAGTGGGATTGCAAAAAGGGCAGAAACACGAGTTTGTGTTTGCAATAGTTAGGAATTGAATGAACTTGAGTTTGGGGGGAAAATGTTAACAAAACCAACCGTCATTTTTGGGCTCTGGAAGTATCTGTGAGCTCAAAAACGTCCATAAACATCACTGCAAACACAATTTTCAGTGAATTTCAGTCTCGGTGTAATGAAATCCTTCTCCCTCTCAGCGTCGGTGGGCGCTGCTGCAGTGAGCGTCTCTCTTTTCTCTTCTCCTCACTGCCGCGCATCCTCGGCTCTCTGTTTTTGTGCCACGCACACACCCGAACACACACGCCAACTGCCTCCCTCTTTATATTCTCTCTAATTCCTTCATCCCTCCCCCTTTTTTTTCCCTTACTTGATCTGCCCCTCTCGGCTGCACAGCATCTCCCTCGTCCTCTCTCTCTCTCTCTCTCTCTCTCTCTCTCTCTCTCTCTCTCTCTCTCTCCCTCACACACTCTCACTCCTTTAGCTCCGGCTCGGTCTCGGGCTCGTGCACACGGAGGGAGAAGGGGGGATGAACGAGGTGCACCCATGTGAGGATCTGGACTGCCGGGCCAAGGCAGGACTGGTGAAGAGAGAAGAAGAAGAAGAAGAGGAGGAGGAGGAGGAGGAGGACTAGAGGAATACTGCAGTGACCAGCCGGCTTCTTTCTCTCCATATACCCCCCTCTCTGGTTCTCCCTGCTCCACTGCTTTCGTCCTCTTTTCTTCTTCGTCCACTTCTTCTCGCCCCCCCCAACTCCAACCCACCCCCCCCACTCTGCCAATTATACCATGAAGCTGCCTGCTGTTTGTTGCTAAGGGGGGAGCCATCCAGGGGAACAGAGTGGACCGGGCGTTATTTTGGTTTTGGAGGTAATAAGGGGCTTCAGTAATGGCAACTGCCAGGTGTTACAGATGTTGCGTTGCACTTGACTGCTCGCCTGCTGGGGGCGGAAGGGGGGGGGGGGGGGGGCGGCTCTGGGACTCACCATGCCCAATCCGTGGAGCGCCGTCTGCATGCGTGCATGTGTGTGTGTGTGTGTGTGTGTCAACTCTTCGCCAGTTTTTGCAGTTTGTTTTTCCTGACAAGTGGGATGCGCTGCTTTTGTCTGTTTGGGTCTTTTTCAAAACGGGGATCTGCCCCTGTTAGTATGTCAGTTTATGCGCCATGTCCTCGTGCGTTTATCTCCTTGCGTATTAGTGGTTGGATTTCAGGGTGTGCGCGCACACAAACGCGCTGCATTCGTTATTCGTATTTCACAGAGTTGCGTCTTTAAGCTATCTGGCTGTCATTAAGGAGCTTCCTCGGCCTGCTCTGGATGTGCATGCTGTTAGCAGGTGAACTGGGAGGACGCTGCTCTCTAAAAAAAATGACAGCTTCCTGCCCACAGGGGACCTATTGGCACATTGCTGTTTCTTTAAACAGGTGCTTTAACAAGCCGTGCATCCTGCCTGTCTAGACAGCCCTGGAGGCAAATGAAAAGATTAGCTGGGCGTTCAGACTCCAGAGAAAAACACAAAAAACCTGTTAGCCAATAGTGAGTTCCGCTCTGCACTCCTCTGGTGACACCAACATTTGGGGCGGGAGTGAAGGCTTACTTCTACACTCCTGCACATCCCAAATGCTCCATAGCATGATGCATTTAACACCAAAGCCCCCCCTTTGCGTGGCTGTTGGGGTACGGACAGGTGGATGTGAACATTGTCAGCCCCCTCCTCCAGCACACATGTCCCACAATGCAGCAACAGTTGCATAATTCAGCTCCTCTAAATCTCTTTACAGTTGACAGCCACCGGCAAGATCCAGTGTCAGTTCCGTCTTTCAGAGCTGCTCCTGTGCGTCCTTCTTTGTTCTCTCAATAGCTCATCACAGCTCTTTTTCCAAACACAAACAGCTTTTTCGGGGGAAAAAGTGGAAGCCCAGCGAGCCGTGACAGCTTCACCCCTACTCGTCTCAATATTTCATGATTACAAAAAAAAAGGAGCTGAATAATGAAATTCACTTAATGTCAATTTATCCCTCTTTCCACATCATGTTTGGGTGGCTTTGTGCGTTCAAAGCTGGGACTGGAAAAGGCTAGGGCAAATGGGGCTAAGGGGGCTTGGTGAAGCCCGGTCACAGCGTAGTTTATGGCAATCCTGAGTTAAGCAGTATTAATTCTCCCGAGAGTGCGTGAGTGTGAAAGCACAGAGAAAGTGTGGGGACCGTTTGGAGGCTGTAAATAAATCCTTTAACAGCAGCTCTCTAAGTATGTGGGGGGGGGGGGGGGGGGGGGTTAATGTGCCGAGTGCTGTTAGTTCAAAGGTACCGGCTGTGTGAATGCAGCAAGTGGAAGCAGAACTTAATGATTCTTATCGTGGAAAACAGAACGCCGACCAAACTCACCACGCGCAAACCAACAGCATCACGCCAGTGAGGTTTAATTTATTTTGAACATCAATTTAATCAGTGTTGAGAAAGATGACTCATCAGCATCCCAGCTCCCTGACTGTGTGTTGTAGACACACACATCTGTGGGATCTAATGATGAGTCTGTGCCATCAACCGTCATGTGTTTTTGAAAAAAGTTTTTTAATCTTTTATGTCAGGCAACTGAAAAACCCCTTAACTTTGACTATAATGACAAAATATCTGATAAATTAACTTCTTTGATAGATTGTTTTTAACATAGTAAATGACCTAATGATATGTCTTGTTAGTATTAAAAGTGGCAAAGCATTAGTCTTTAGAGTGTAACGGAAACGTCATCACGTCATTTTGTGCTGCTCCACTATCCATTTGGGTGTTCTGATCTGGGTTCATCTGTTTTTTTTACAGGCCTTTGTGAAAATGGCAGAGGGGTCCAAAGACCAGGGCTGCACCGGCACTACTGATCCGGAGGAAGATTCCCCCAATATGATCGTCTACAGAAAGGCAAGTGTGTGCTACAGTATCTGAACTGCAGTATGTGGAGTGGGAAACATTCTCCGAGTGGCGACGACCCGTATCCAGGCCCCTGACAGAGCAGCGGGCCGTATCGCTGTGTGCCTACCACACTGGTTTCGCTGTCAGGTGTCAGGAATCCTTCCTTTCAACCATCCTTTAAAAGAAAACCATTCTATTTCTTTTCCTTCCTTAAGGGGCCTCTTCTTCCCAAAGTGTCCATCACCAGGCTGGCCCCCAATATTTTAATAAGGCTCTCCATCCCTTCAGTGGAGAGTTTAGGCAGTGAGAAGCCCTTTCAGTGTCAAGGGTAATTACCTCATCCCCGTGGTGCCTCACTTTCCATCACTGCTTTTTGATTGGAGAGGGTTAGCACTATTGGAGGCTAATTACGTGGATATTCAGCTGGGAGAATTGCTACATTTTCAGGGCTGGAACTGGAAGCGGTCATGTTTTTTTTTTCTCTCACCACCAATAGATTCTTATTTCACTGCCAAAGTGACAGCCGAATCTGATGAGACTTTCACAGAAAAATGGAACGCTACTATCTTGCTGAGTGCTACGAGCAGGCCTCGGTTGAGGGATCCTGCCCCACTGTCCCAAATCTGCTATTTCATCCTGCCTCTAATGACCATGTCCATTCATATAGCGTAGTAAACAGATTAGGGGAATGATAAATGAGACAGGATGTGAAATAATTGTTGGCAGCTACCGCATCAGGTTGTAAAATTCCCTATGCTTGTAGTTTTTGTTGTGTGCTGTGAACGGTTTCATGTCTGTCCTCAGCCGGATGTGGAGTAGTGGGCTTGTAACGTCGTTCTATCCTGCAGTAAATTTGAAACTTCTTAACCGGGCTTTTCTGACCTTTTTTAAAGACAAACCAAGAATCCCATGCCGATAATCAATAATCAATAATCAAATCAGAAGTCTGACTTTTTGGAGAAAGAAAGCCTCCCTGACTGAAGCTTGGACTTCATTACAGAGCTGTCCCACACACGGGGGTGAAAAATGAAACATGTTTCTTATGGTTCTTCCTGTCACGATATATCAAAGGACACATTTGCTCCACAAGCTTGCTTTTCTCAGCGGTGGTTTACCACCTCACACGGCTGGACGAGCATGTGCACATGCGGTTAATTCTTTGTTGAACTTTGACCGCTGCCGAGTGTGATGAAAACCTGCGTGGCCACCAGAAACAAGCTATTCAGCCAAGCATGGACGACAAATCTGAAATAGTCGTTGGTCAAGTTTACGTGTGTCTCGACGCCTCATTAAGACAGACCAGTGTTCATCCAAGCACTTAACTGGGCGTGCAGGAAAACCTGGAAGAAACCACACTACTAATCACTATGCGTAAATGATGAGGCCAGTAGAACTTCATATGGTTTTTTGTGTGCGGTTCTCTCCGGGATCTCCTGCTTTCTGCCACAGTCCAAAAAAACTGCATGTTAGGTTGATTGGATATTCCAAATTGCCCTTACGAGTGAGTGTGAGTGTGCGTGGTTGTTTGTTTGTCTTGTGTGTGGCCCTGCGATGGACTGTCCAGGGTGTACTCTGCCTCTTGCCCGTTGACCACTGGAATAGTCTCCAGTTCTCCCCGCGACCCCATTAGGGAATAAGCGGTAACGATAATTGTTGGATGGATGGGTTTTCATGGAACTCTGCTGAAAGGATGGTGCATTATTACTGCAAAGATATTGTTTCATCTTTCATTTTCATGATGTCGAAGAATTCTGCCTAAAGTGCACCAAGGTCTTGTCAGAGTAGAGGACACAACATATGCTGTGCATCATTTTCATAATCTCCAAACCAAGCCGGCCTGCTGGAGTTAAGAGTCAAGCATTCCGGTTTTCCTTCTAATCTGCTGCGCTCTGTATTTGTCATGAGGGGTTTGCTTGTGTCTGCGTGCCCCTTCTAGATGGTACCAAATAGGTTGCTCTTGCACAATTGTACATCCATGCATTCTAAGAAGCCGCAGAGGGGAACATACTGTAGTTGCATGTTACGCCGGGCATCTTCATGGATTTCACAGTGCAGCTTCATTACATAACGCTGCACATGCCTGGAGGCGACACATTTAAGAGGCTGGGTTTTGCTTGTCAGGAGGCTGCCCGGGGGAATATTCGTCATTTCATGTTTTAGTCATAAGCAGTGACAACAGACAGATTATTCTGAGGGTGACAGGACTTTCTGCCCTTCCTGCTTTGTGAAAATGATTTTTGATTTGGATGTTTGAAGGAGCAGGGCTCAGAATTCGTTATATATCTGGAGATTTTTGCCTTGCTGTGGTCTAATAAAAGTTGCTCTAATTGAATGCGCGGCACCTTACGTTTTTACCCCGGTGCTCGTCTGCCTTAAGGCCAAACGACAGAGAGGTGCTGGGTCTTTGACGGCTGAGCGCCCACGGCCTCTGGACTCAGTGGGTGGGTAGCCTTACGCAGTGTGAACGCGCTGCTTGCAGAGAGGCAGATGGTCACCAATATGTTCCGTCGCCAGGGAAAACACTGGCAGCATCATCCCACAGGCTTAGGCCCCCATCAGCTGGAGGATATCCACGTCTTACAGCGAGGAGTTACGGCTGCTGTAACGCACGTAGTTGATCTGCAATGTATGTGGCAAAGAGTCCTTAAGTCACTTGTGTGAGGAAGTTAGAAAAAGCGGAATGTGATATATTAAGTCATTTGAGAAGGAGGTTGTCGCTGCCCGTGCGGCGTTGGTGCGGCACCACTCTCTCGCTCCGTCTCTCCTCCCACGAGAAAACGGAAGTGAAGCAAGACAAGCCAATAACTGCAGGGCGTCTCGTTGCCTAAAAAAAAAACAGATAAGCATCAAAAGATTTGGCGTGCAAAGGTGGGCTGCTCACATACTCGCGCCCGGCTCGATTTGCCGCTGTGTTGCTCGCCACCTTTTGTTTTCCCCTCGCTCCTGCACAGCAGACAGAAAAAATGGTGCTGGAGAAGCTTTAGAATCATGTGGCTGTATCAAAAGCGGATCCTATGCATGCACAGCGGGTGTTCTAAGAGGATGAAGTTTGAATCCCTCAACAGAAAAAAAAAAACTATAAATCTACTGGTCATATGCACATGTTTTTTTCATTTGTTTTCCCAGTGATATGTTGTTATACGGTAATGGATGTTTGCTCCTGTAGCATCGGCTGTGGGCGGACTAACACGCATCGTCACACCTCTGTCGCTGCCTTACACCAGATGGATGCTGAAGAAATTACTGTCACGGCTGACCTTATCTTCCTGCAGCTTGCACACGTTTAACAGTCTGCTATGCGGGATTAAGATCATTTAGAGAGAGGACACAGAGGGAGCGAATATGTAAAAAGAAAACACAGCAACCCCGCTGCCGGTGGGATATTAACCGTCCCTTCGGTGTCAGAGGAAGATTAAATTATTGTAAATGGCAGATTCCCGCATCATTGATTCACATACTACAGCAGGGTCGACAGCTGGTCGGGTTTGAGGGGCTAAAAGAAGCACTCCAGTTGCTCTGGTCACTAGAAAGTCCAGCTGCTTGTCTTCCTGCTGCCATCCCCTGACTCACACTCTCTTGTCTCTCTGAAGGGGCCCTTGGAGGCCGTATCTCTCTTCTTTTAAGACTCACCTCCGCTGAAGGTGTTTATGGGTCACTATTTGCTTTTCCTGCGTGCACTTTAGATAGCACACTCCAGCTGAACATTCTGAACATCATCTCGGCAGCTACAGGGACAGATTCACTCAGCACTTTATCGCGTACGACTGTTTTAACACCGTCTCCACTTGCACCATGGGAGTCTTTATCTGAGGCACGGCTCTGGGCTGTAGCCTGTGCGCCTGTACACTAAGTGCAAGTGTGGGTTGCTGGGTTGCTTTCCTGGTTAGGTCAATAAGATAAAACAACAGTAAGAGCGTAAAGCTCCCGCTCTTACATAAGCAGCTACTGTCTGTTTAATGTGTTGGCCTGTGCCGTCTTTCCAGTAACGCCCGGGACCCGCACACGAAAATCCTGGAAGTCCACTAAAAAACAAATTGTTGGCGGATAATGGCCCACAGTGCTTTGGCAGCCAGCAGGCTGTGTGGAGAGGATTATTTACCTCATTTGTAAAGAATGGCAGCGACTGCAATGAAAGGCTTTTCTCCGGCGGAGGAAAGTCCTCTCTGTGCTTCTCCCGCTCCGTCCGTTTGCACATTCCTCACAATGTGCTCTCAGAGAAGCACATTTAATAATGCAGCCAGCGCCGGGCTTTATTTTGGGAGCGGAGTGTAAATCTACGTGCGCGTAGAACGCTGATGATAAGAGGTGGGCTGATGTGGGGGAACGACTGGCACTGCTGTGTCCCACTTCTCAGTGCCCTCCAAAACCTCCTGAGCCTTCCATTTAACGCAGAATGAAAAGGCTGCTTTGAATGGGACAATAGACGGAGCATGCCTGAAATGCCTCAGACTGTACTGTGAATAACCGCAGCATCTCCGCAGGACACTGAAAGAGCTTATTGAACTCCTACAGAGCGGATGACATAAAAGTACTGGGAATATGTATAAAATTACCGCAAGGGCTTCAGGAAGCATTTACGCAATGGATACCATTTCAATGAAGTGTCTTCTGGTTGATATTCAATAGCATCAGTCAGGAAACTGCTGTCCGGTTAATCTCTTTTAGATAATGCTGATAAACAATAGACTCTTGTTTCAATGTGTAGCTTAATAATAATGGCCCAGCTTTGACATTAGCTCTGAGAAGGCTGCTGGATCTTACACTCAATTTATTATTTCTATTTCAAATTTGAAATAAAGATATAAAGGCTAAAGATTAATTTAGTCATAAAATGCTTTTCAGGTTGATGGATGGATGGATGGATGGATGGATGGATGGATGGATGGATGGAT